CTTTGCTACCGCTGGAGCGATTTGCTGCTGCTACGAAGCCATCTGCTGCCATTGCTATTGTTGCCGTTCCCCGTGGGGAATGGGGATTCCCACGGGGATCACCATTCCCCACGGGGAATGGGGACGGGGGGCAAAATCTACCCCCCGTAAAAAAATCCCCGTGGGGATCCCCGTCCCCGTGACTCACGGGGACGGGAATGGGGAAGGGGTCCCCGGCCCCACAGGGCCCCGTTGACATCCCTAGATATTACATTCACCTCTCCTAAAAAGGAATTTTGTCCCCAAAACTCAAATTGAGGATCATCTAGACTGGTGAATGGTTTCACAAAAGCCAAGGCAAAACAAATGCCCCATCAACTTCCTATAAACAGAACATGGCCTACTACACTTCCGCTGCGCCCTTTGATATCAAACCACAACTAATCATAAAAGCAGAACATTAACTACTTAACAGGATTTACCATGAAACAAGCTACTGGAGGCTGGGGTGATATGGGAAGCACAAGGAATAGAAATAAATCCTGCCCAAAGCCACAAAAGAACAATTGTGGGGTTATGCTATGAACCCAACACAAGATGAGTTCACAAAGAATGGCATGGATTTAAAGACAAGTACAACAAAACTTTGAACTCTATCAAAGACAGATAAGCATCCAATGGATATATGGATCATGAATGAATGAATGAATGAACGAGTGCATGGATGCCTTATACACTCTGCCACAAAAGAAGGTTAACCAATAAAATAAGATCATGTTTAACAAAACAACTGGAATCAAGAAACAGATTTTAGCAATTAACAAGAGTTAAAAGCTATACCCATCAAATGACATGTGAAATTTCTAAAATAGCACCAGAATGAAATCAGTGAAAAATATGAATGCTTGAAAGAATATTAGAATATAAGAGTGCAAGGTAGAATGCCTCAAAAAAATTCAGCAACAAAACGGCATTCACCAAGAATGAAGATCAAATTTAACCAAAGCAGTTAAAATTGAGAGACAAGAGTTAACCATGAAACAAGCAATAGAATTTAAGGATTAGGCCCACAAAAGAGATTTCAATAATGACAACCAGAACACGGATTCAAGAGCATATATAAACAGGATGTCAAGATCTAGCACCCCAAGTAACACGAATTAATTAACAGAATAATCAATAGTGGGGATCAAGATACTTAGAAGATTATTGTCTTCTAATTAAAAGGGCAAACAAAATCAAAGCAACCAGATAAAAGAACCATTTCTCTTGGTTCAAAACTCTAGGGCATCAGGTACTTCAAAGACTACCCCTTCACCTCGTAGCCCATGGAGGCTAAGCAGATTTACAATCAAGTCATCTTAGACATCCTAGAGTCAAGTCAAAGCTAAGACATCAAGGATATAGAGATTAACACTTGCAAGAGACAAGAATTAGGATGCCTCCTATAGGTATTTTCTAATAATCATCCCCTTCCTAAGAAGGTGTCCATATGAACAAAATCAAAAATCAAGAAGATCAATAGCTATACTAAAATAAGAACAAGTAGAATATGCAGGATTTGAGCAAGAGCAGTATACAGAATTTGAACAAGAGTAGTATATAGAATTTGAACAATAGCAGTATACAGAATTTGAGCAAGAGCAAGGGTCAGGACAAGAATGGTTTTCAAGGACAATTCAAAATAGATTCCAAGAACAATGCAAGAATTAATTTCAGACAAGTATTAAGATAATGAGGATTTCAATAATCATTATCCGTTTCCTTTAGATTTCAGTTTCAAGAACAAGTACAA